GAAATTGAACGCATCGGAGATATTCCAATCTCACAACTAGGAAACAATCAGATACCAGGCAATTACTATAAAACAATTTATTTCTACCATCAAAACTCATATTTTTATTTGTGTGATCATTTAAACTTATATAGAGTAAATACTTTTATGATAACATTATTTTAAAACAAGAAAGTAAAGTTAATTATAAACAATTAAAATCACAGTAAAATATTTTAAAAAGAAAAATAGTAATAACACAAACAATAAAATATGGCAACACTTGAACAATATTGCTTAACAGAGCATCAATCATTTACTTTAATAATTGACAACAATGTCACTCTTGTATCTGATTTGACTAACATAACAGAAAATGAAACGCAAGCTAGGTTAGGAGAAAATGAAGTTGAAATACTAAAAAATATTTTGCGAAAATTTCAACATTTAAAAAAAAGAAAATTTAAAAAGTTAAAATTAAAAAAAGACATTTTTTTAAAATATGGATCAAAAGAAGTCATTATAAGAATAAATCCAAAGACTAAAGAAAGTAGCTCAGTCTTTGAACCTGCTGATAAGAATGATGAAGAAACCAGTCCGTATAGGATGAATAAACATTGGTCAGCCCTATATATATATATATGTATATATATATATATATATATATATATATATGTATATATATATATATATATACATATATATATATATATATATATATATATATATATATATATATATATATATATATATATATATATATATATATATATATATATATATATATATATATATATATATATATATATACATATACATGTTTTATCATTATTTATACGATTTCGCTAAAAATGAAACATTTGACGTTAGAAGTGTGTGTGAATTTCTTCTAACAAGATGTGAAGGAAAAAATAAAACATTAAAATTGAAAATACCGACAGTGACAGCGGCTGCTATATGTTATGAATCAAATTTAGGTAGAATGACTTATACTCAGCAAAGAAAAATACTAAAAGCAAACAGTATAGATGTATTTCCAACCTGGAATGAAATTCAATTGTTCCAAAATTCTATTACTCCATTGACAACAAGTTATCTTCCAGATCCTTTTGTTGGTGTCTATGCAAGTTTTATTGAATCTACCAAGATTACTATTGAGAGAATTTTGAGGGTTGAAGGTCTTTCCGTTTCTTCTAGAGAAAACAGCCTTACACTAGAGGTAAAATTCGGCTACGATGGAAGTGGTGGGTACAAAATTTACAACCAACTGCACAATGTTGACACAAGCAACATTACTATGGCAATGTTTTGTCTACTTAAAATTTTAAATCATGAAAGTATTACATTGTGGGAACAGCAATACCCTAACTCTACTAAGTCTAACAGCAATACCCTAACTCTACTAAGTCTAACAGCAATACCCTAACTCTACTAAGTCTAACAGCAATACCCTAAGTCTACTCAAAGGCCACTTATGATTCAAATGGGGAAAAAGTCAAATGAAAATATCCAATCTCTTTCTTTATTTAACGAAGGCATACAGTGTATGAAGGAAGACGGAATTATTGTTAAGCATAATCAAAATGATTACCATGTTAAAGTAAACATTGTCGCTCATAGTTTAGACAGAAAGGCTTCAAATATTTATCAAGGCCTTAGAGGTTTATATTTTGATTTTTGTGACCCTTTCAAAGAACAATGTGAAAATATACAAACAGTTTAAGATGGTTTCATCATAAACAGGGATGTTAAATCCATGCAACAAATATTTCTTGACTTAGTAAATGAGGAAGGGACCATTTTGAAAAAAAAAAAAGGATTACAAAATGCGACACGGTCAAACTACATGTCCAATTGCATGTTCGAATGTTAGGTCTATTCAGGTTTTACATGGTTTGCTCAGGAGCTTTGATCATTTTATGAAGATAGTTATTCACATGGCGGCAGGTGTCTTAACTTAGAAAGAATCTAAGTTTAACAATAACACAACATTGCTGAAAGAAGAAAATGCAAGACTCCAAGAAATTATCTGAGTTAAAACAGGAATAAAATGGGATTTTGCAGTATCAACCGGACAAGAGGGCAATAAAACAATTCAAAATGTTGCTAGAAAACTTTTACATAGTAATATAATGCGAAAGGTTATTACAGATCACATATCAAGTCAAACTGACCGCAAACTAGTAGAAAAGTATGGCTTGCTTCTTTCCACTATTCTGAGAGCAATGTCATCTGGCAAAAAAATTAATATTGAGCTATACAAACAAATGTGTCAGGAGCTAAACATCTTGCTTCTACAAGAATTTTATTGGGTAAGTATAACTCCAACGCTGCACAAAATTCTTGCTCATAGCTGGGAGTTGATAGAAATAAATAATTCCACCGGTTTGAAATCTTGTAGTGAGGAAGGAATGGAAGCTAATAATAAGCGTCTCAGATACTTCAGGGAAAAACTATCAAGAAAAATTAATGAATTGGTCAATATAGAAGATTGCTTTAAAAGACTTTGGCTGGGTTCTGACGCGTTAGTTGCAGAAGAACGGAGCAAAGGGCTGTTATTTTGCAAAAACTGCTTGGATAGAGGGCATTCTAAACGCTCATGTATGCGCAGAAGTGCATCAGCTGATGATATTTTAAACAATCTTTTTGTTATGAATAAATTAATTTTGTAACATATGTGTATTTGTTAATTTTTCAAAACCAAGTTCTTAGACTTTAAACTTAAGATGGCAATTTTAAAACTCATTTTTTTTAAAAACCGCTAATGGGGCCAACTTAAGCATAGCAGCAAATAAAAGCTTTTATTTTGTATTTCGGAAATCATATAAGGTTTAGTATGGCGTCATAAGCGGTTTTTGAGATATTCACCGAAATGTTTAAAAACTATAACAAAATCATGTGAAAAAATTCACAGTTTTTATATACATTTTATGAAAACTATCCAATTTGTTTCTGAAACTCTATTATTATTAGCCAGAAAAATGTTTTTTAATGTAGGCTCTTTATCCCTTATTGTTAAATAATAATTTTCAAAGTTTTAGTTCAATAATCTTTTTTTTTTTCATCACTTTTGAGTATCACCGAGTGATACTCAAAAACTCTGTTGAGTTTTAAAGTATGTTTTTTCTTCCATATTGTTCAAGTTTGCATGGCCGTAACTTTTTAAATAGACAAAAATTTTAACTTTTTTTTTATAGCTTAAATCCGCATGCTATTTAAGTATACAAAAATTAAGTTAAATTTTAATTTTAAAAAATTAAATTTTTTACTCATGTCCACCATTTAAACCACTGTGTTACTTTAGAAAGTAAAAAAACTTGCATTGTAAAGTAAAACTCGTTACTCAAAAAAACTAATTACTTATACGGGAATGTAAATTTACATAAAACGTTTAAAATTACTTATGCAATTTACTATTTGATAAAAGTTAACTCATTCGTGTAAGTAAAAAAAAAGTAAGTCAAAGAGCCATCGTAGTAATAACGGATTTGATTATTGCTTGAAAGGATGACCATTCTTTTGTAACAAATCTTTTCCATCAGATACAAAAATCAGCTACAAAAAGTTTAAATTTTACTAAAGAAACTTTGCAATTTTCTTAATTCTAAAGTATCCATCCATTAACATTCATGTCAAATTTTACTAAAGAAACTTTGCATTTTTCTTAATTCCAAAGTATCCATACATTAACAATGTCAATGAAGGAAAGAAAGATACAGTGGTATCATTTTTTGGAGCGACCTTTGTTTCTATAATAACCCAAAAAAGAGTCATGTAACTCAACACCTATCATGTGTTTATTATAAATTTGAAATACATTTGGACATAATACCAGAACATTTTTGCCCTCTGGATTTGAAAATTTCTGAAATTCTGTTGTTGGTTGGCTACCAACATAGTTGACAACAAAGCTACTATTTTATTATCAAACCAACACATAGCTGATAACTTTACTTTTTCAATAACAGTCAAAATGATACCGTCGTTTTTGCTTTTTAAATGTTTTTTTTGTTGGTAAAAGGCAATTTTTTAATTTGTATTGACGAACAGTTCCTAACTAAAGTATACCTTGGACATATAGATATAAACTTGCAATGGTATACTGTTAAACCAGTTGTCAACATACAATTTATGGTTGAAATTACGAGGAATAAATCGTGAAAGCCTTATAACAACGTTTTTATTAGCACCAATATCTGATCCATTTGGAGCACCCACATTGTCAGACTTTCCAGTAAACAATTCAAAATTATAACTGAATCCTGGAACACCACTAAGAACATATACTTTGAAATCCCATTTATGCTGCTTTTTAGGTTTATACTTTTTCAGTGAACTGCGTCCTTTAAATGGAATAATTTGTTCATCAACTTCTAAACTTTCTTCAATCAGTATATTTTTAATTTTATTTTTATATCGCTAAACAATCTTCGTAATCAAGGGTCTAACTTTGTGTAATTTGTCCTACTAGCTGCCTCGTTATTGTGAGAAAAATGTAAAAAGCGTTTTATTTCTTCAAATAAATTATGACTCATTATTTCTGCAACACTGCTTACTGGGAGGGAAGATGATCAATAATCTCTTATTGCAGGAAGTTTCATAACAGATATTTATAAAATAGATGCAATTAATTTCTTTATATCACTGGCAGTAAATTTTAATGGCTTTTCAGGTCTTGTTTATACTGAATACAATTAAGTAAGCGATATCAGCCTGAAGATCTTTTGGGAAAAGGTGAAAAAAGAAAAAAGTTCTGATCTCTGCTAATTTCTTCAACATTGCCTTTAAGCATGTTTTCTTATATGCTATCAATAATAAAAGTTAACATTTTGTTTTAAAAACTTGAATAAACGTTTGTGCACAGTATTCAAGTATGCTGTACAGACTTGCTTCTATATAAATATCTCAAAAAAGTTTTTCGTTGTTCTTTTACTTTTTTTTTTTAATTAGCCTTTTTTATGTTAATCTAATTAACTGCAACTTTCTTTAGCTTTTTACTCAAAACTAAAATTTATTTTTAGGATTAACATTAGGATTTAGTTTGCAATGGAATTTGTTAAAACGTGTAGCTTGTTTTCAACCCAAAGGTGATTTTCCAGCACAAATTCAAATTAATCAATACGGTGTATTAATTGGAATAAAGATGATGCATTTATATGGAGGAACAAAATGTTATAACTCGTCTATGGGCAGCAGGTTTGGTTGTTTCAATGATCAAAGCTATTTTAATCTTGTTGTTACTGACAATAACAAAGTTATTCTTTTTCCATCTCCAAATCAAGAGGTTACGTATATCGACGGGTCTAAAAACTATCAGTATCCTGGTTTTCTACCAACCGATAAAGAAGTTGTTTTTATTAACTTTGAATATCCAACCTACTTTAAAGTAGGTGATTACATCTCAATATGGAACTTCGAAGATTTTAATAACTTTAATGAGGAAGATAACTCTGGAGAGGTTTGTGTTAATGTATATGGTGCATTTAACTAAGTAAATTAGTTGTTTTTATAAGTTTATTGTTTTTTGTTTCGTGCTTTGCAAATGTTTTTTTTTTAATTTTTCTTTAAAAAATCCTTTTATAAGATATTTTTTCTAATTTTAGTGTGATTTTGAAGTTTATTTAGTTTTGATAAACACAATTATTTATTTTTAATTGTTAATACCATTTAACATGTTGTGAGGCAATAAGTATGCACTTTTTTTTTCTATATATAATACATGTGTTGTACTTATTATATAGTATTTAAATACATCAAGACTATGGTGATCTTATTTAGAAATTTTTATATATATTTGAAATATATTTTAGTTATGTGTTTATACATTCAAGGAAAGTACAACCCAAATTACTTCAAAATTAATTTAAAAAATATTTGTCATACTTTCATAAATGCAAATACGCATGCGCTTCATAATATCAAACTACATGTAATTATAACATTTAATAAAACCCTAATAAAAGAATGAAAATTAAATATCTATTACTATCAACCTTTCAAAAAATAAGCTATAGCAAAAAATAAACTCATATGTTCCACTAGAAACTGTTTACTTCAAAGTTTAAGAGTTATTGTTTGTAAGGGTCAGGCAAACTCCTGAGACTGTGGAATTGACACCTTCCAAACTGCTTAATTTTTTTATATATTGCTCAGAGTATATAGAAAATCTGCGATGTAAAAAAAGAACTTTTCGAAAATACTTTGCTCACTCGGAATCCGGTTTAAAAAATGTGAGATTTTTTGAAAAATATTTAAAAGTTAAGTTTGTGCCATGAATCCATTTCTTTGGCAAGACAAGAAGTTGCATATAACTTTTTTAGTTAGTATCAGACGTAACCCATAATTTCTCTCTAGCATGAGAATTTGCGTGAAACTGTGTTTTTTTTTAATTATTATAGTTCAAAAGTACAAAAACATTCAGTCTTGTCATTTTTAAGTGGTAGTTATTTCGAACGGCGAAGAGTTGCATACAATTATTTTTTTTGCAGAACAATATTTTGTAAATATTGTAGGTATTGTGTCTAAAAATGCAAAAAAATAGTGCATGATACATATGGTCTATCCCTATATGAAAGCATGAAATTAGAAAAAAAATGTTATAGTAAGTTTTGTAAAAATATAATTATTATACAATGTGAATTCAAGATGGTCCTAACATAATAATAAAAAAACAATTTTTATATAATAGTTCCAAATTTAAGTGTTGTGTAATTTAATCTCACATATAATATTATATGAATTAAAAATTTAATTAAAATTATAGAGCCAGAAAACTATGTTGCTAATTAAATAACAAATAATTAAATAAACTGTTCATTCACAAATATAGTTATTTAGACGCATCAAAGAAATTATCCATCATATCACACATGTTCATCCTCTACTCTGCTGCAGTAATTTTCTTTAATAATAGTGATATAAATGTAATATTGTCTTTTTCGGATAATGAATAATTGACACAACCATTGATTAGAAAAGGACCATCTATTAAAGGACCATCTATTAAACAGATAATGTTTTAAGTGTCGTTGTTCATCTCCTTGGAAGAAACTGGCCAGCCAAAATTATTCTATACTCAACTTTTTTTCATGCAATTAATACTGATCTAAGATATATATACTTAAAAGTGTTCGCGAGACTTCTAAAACAATTATCGAGAATTCATGATTTGTTTAATTTTGTTTACATTCTCAGTAAAACTTATAAAGTTTAACCCGATATTACATAATGTTGCCAAATGTAAAAACACATTAGTAAAAAACAGATAATTCCTTTTATTTTAAAATATTTTAATAAATAATTAAGATATTTTAAAATATTATCAACTTTATAGCAGTGTCTTTTTGATTTATTATAATTACTTGTTTTTAAGTCATCGCAACTTGCGTTTATATTTTAAATCAGGCTCTAAAGTTTAATAAGTTGCATTGTGATTGTCTGTTTTTTTAAAATTTAAAGGAAAAAGTGTGCAATATAGGGTTAATATATATTTTTAACTCAATATCTAACACTTTCCGAATATATTGCACATTGCTTTAGCTGAAATATTTCCCTGATAGCAACAACATTATCAGATTTAGTAAACATCCTTTTGATATGTAGTTGATGGATTTGAATTGTTCCAAAATTGCAGTGGCTAACAATCAGCATTACCAATTCCCTGACACCTATACACTGAAGTAAAGTAAGCACGTTTTTTATTAATAATATATCTACGTGTGAACTAATTCCTTTTTTCAAAAATACTATAATTGTCCCTCTTTGTATCGAAAGACCTTTTTTAACCAAAATAATTAAACCAGAGTTTTATAGTTTAATTGCTTAAAAACTTTAATCTTTGTTTTATTTTTATTTATTTTTTTTGTGGAAAATTTCTCATCAGATTTTTTATCAACTTTTTAATAGAACATGATGGTGTGGTTGTATTTTGTTGTCAATATTGGATGCGCTCTTCACTGCTGCCGTATTTCAATTTGGTTATTCCATAAGTAACAACACGCAAAATACCGTTTGTAAATATAAAACTGAAGAAATTTTTATTACTTTGTTTGATCAAATCTAAAACAAACAAACACTTTTTTCTTTAGAATTTACAACCCTTTATAAGATGAATATCATTTTTTATACAATGTTTTGTTCACTCAAATGCATTCATTATAAACTATTTGGTATATTTGATATGATTTAATAACGAGAGGATAACTTAGTTTCCAATAGGTCCTCTTTCTTTATATACTCTATGAGCGCGAATAATTCTATCTTGGAATGGACTTTTTATTTCATCAACATTTTTATTATAAATTTAGTTGATAAGTACTTCCTCTTGTCCAGGAGCCGGGACTTTTGCAAACCTTTTCTTCAATAAGTTTTCTTAGCGATTATACTTACGTTTTAATTAATCTTCATTAGTATCTATCAGATATTCAAACTTCTTTTTAATCTGTATTTGATATTAGGAAACATCGATTTCAATGTTTTCTACAGTTCAATGTTTTCTACTATTCGAAATGCGAAATTCGGAAGATTTGAAATTGTATGGTTTTGCCTAGCGGAAACCAATCTCAATCCTCTTTCTGTGCGCAACCAATCTAAATCCTTTTTCTGTATTTATCTTTAATAACAAAATTTCTTCTTTAAAGCATTTTACTTAGGGTTTTCAATCTGAAATCTAAATATTTTTATTTTTACTTGAAGGAATAAACAGTTAGCACGGATCCTTATAATGCCTACATAGCTGTTCCAAGAACGCCGCTTATACGGAAAGTTAGCGTAAACATTAAGGTACCCTGTGATGCGAATTTTGAAATCATTCAATTTTTTCCGCGGAAAATAATTTAATGTAAATGTTCAAATTAAGTCAAATTTTGACTTCATAGTGCGCCAATAAAAACACTTGTAGAATTTGAAACACTCAATATAGTTTAATAAAATTGGTGCAAAAGTAGCTAAAAGCCACATCAAACTCTGGACAAAATTTCAGCCTGATTGGATGACTGGTGTAGGATTTATTTCAGTTTTAGTTGAGTTTTGTCAGTTTTTCGCTACTTATACCTCAAAGCGTTAACAATTACTTTGAAATTCGGTCACTATATTTAAAATAACGTTACATTAGTGTTCTACTATGTAATACCAACAATTTTTTTTATAATTATTTTATCGGTACATGTAGAGTTTTCATTTTATAGACCAAAATAGTGATTTTCTACTTCAAGCGTGATTTAAATAGTCTCATACTAATATTGTCGACACGGCCTTCAAAGTAGAGGGGGTCAACCTCTCAATTTTTAAAATAAAATCCATCAATTAATTAATAAAATAATTGCCTATATTTCTAAAGAAAAAAGGTCCTTGCAAAAAAAAGTAAGTAGGAAACGACTTCCTAGCCTCCCCGGCGATGACGGCCATGTATGCTTTGCTTGAATATACCAACATTTCCTAAGGTATAAATTGCTGCCAAAAAAAAGCTAAAAAAAAAGTGCAAAACCTGGTCAAAGGACTACAAGTTAGTAAAACAAAGTCAAAAGTAGATCTCCTAAAATATTTTGTATTGACCTCATTTACCTTTAAAATGAAGTACAATTACCTTTAAAATTAAGTGAAAACTATTTAAACACTATTTTTTACATTGTAATACCATCAAATATCTAATTACATTTTAAGAAATATTTTTTTGATTTTCTCCGCCAAAAGATTATTAATAAGTAGCTCAATGTACTCTTTTAATACAAATACTCTATAATACTACTTTTAAAGATGGTGGAAATATTCATTATACGCCGTAAAATATGAGTTTCAGCAGCCTAGTTTCTAATAACTCAAATGATGTTCTTTAAAGGTGCTTACTGTTTAGATCAGTTATGCAGCGCAGCAATCTTTCTTTGTACTTTGTACTGTATGATTATTATTTCGCTTATACTTCGACCAATGTTGAAAAAAAATCTTGATGAGACGTTTCGACAGCTTGTTTACTATAGGGCCCGAAGGAGATCCTTTGTGACTGATGAAATACTTGATGTGGTAAATGACGGCGTGAATTTTGGGTGTTACGCTTGCACCAGTTATCATTAGGTAACACTTTTTGAAATTTTCAATTTTTTTAGCAAAATCCGGCTTAAAGATGTATCCAAAGCAAGCCTTGACAACTAAATTGAAGCTTTTGAATTCTTCAATCATGCACAGATGATTATTATATTGGGAACCATGTTTGTCTCAGCAATTTGCTGCAGCAAATCCACATTTTTAAGAAACTTCCTGCATTCACTTTCCTCAAACTGGCCCCCTTAATACGGGCTCAGTTAAATGTGGAGAGCGGCTGGCAACTTAAGAGCTTCTATCCAAGCAGTTTTAAGGATCTTGAAAAGATTCCATCTGTGAAATGATTTCCAAAATCAGAACATTGACAGGTCCGCAGATGATTGGCTTTCAAATGACATTGCCAAACAGCAATTGCCAACGACATCTTGTATGAGAGTTGAATAAATTTAATATATGAACATCAATTTGTAATTA